CGCGCACATCGGATGGCAACAAAGAAAACCACAGGTGGTGAGTCAGGTTTCCTTGTGATAGCAGCACGGCACAAGCACGTGCCTTGTTTGCGTCGAAATCGATTATGTAGCTGCAGCGCTGCATTAGCGAAACTAGCTCGCCCCGTTGCATACAATGCATCTCATCGCCTGCTTCTCGGTATTCATTCCAATGCATCCGTCTCCTTTGAATTTCTGAATTATGTCAGAAGTAGCTGTGACACCTCCAAGAAGCCCATCAACCAGAATTGTGGGCCACCGCGGCATCTGAGGGCTCAATGCCATCCATGATATCTTCTTCATGCCCCTGCGTCTGTCTCAAGGCGCTGAGGTATTCCATAACCACAGACGAACTCCGATTTCGTCACACCGCCGGCATATACCGTTACCAATCCGTTTGTTTCTCAATCCCGGCGTGTCTGCGCCATACGCGGCGTGTCTGCGCCATACGCGGCGCGTCTGCCCGACTCACTGCTCCGTCGGCGGCGGCAGTGAGACCGTGCTCTGGAACCGTGTCAAGGTCGTGCTGGCCGCCGCAGTGCAGTGGACGGACATGACCGGGTCAAGGTCACGGTCACCACGGGCGGCCGGCCGCGGGGCATCCCCTTCCTCCCTCCAACGCCCAGCACACCAGTCACCACACCCATAACGGCCTCACACGTCCGAACCAAAGCCGACTGAATCAGTGTCCACACTCGCCCAGTTTAAACGGAGTTCTACAGCCTTGGTTTCAACACCGGATGAGATAGGTAGCGGATGCAGTTTCGAAATTGCAAGTGAAGAACGGACATCGATTCGATATTCGAGCGCATTATCGGTGTTATTCAAGTTATGCTACCTCTTGAATTGTTTCAACACCCTCACGACCGACGTTTTTGAGCTCAACAAAGCCGGATTATCTATCAGTATCACAGACTCAAGCACATTCACACTAAATATTAGCCCCAATACGAAAACCTGCCGACCAGCGCCCAATTTCATTCTGACGTCGGTCGCGTTCCACATAGCCCCGCGTTCACAAACCACAGGGAGCGGCACTGGCCACGCTACGCTCCACCAGCTGCTGCGCCACGCACAGTACACGCACACTACGCACCGCACGCATTGCCGACGAGGCCGGTGCCGCACATATACCGTTATCTAGACCCCTGAGCAGCGAAATACCTAAGCAATGAGCTAGCTACCTGAGCAGTCGGCTCGGCGAAAAAACGGTGGTGGAGATAAGGCATAGCTATAACCGGCAGCAGGAGCTGAAAAGCACGCGCGACCCGAGCGCGACCCGCAACGCCTGCAGCCTCGCGTTGCTACCAGTGACGTCATATGACCTGTCGGTGACGTCATATGACCTGTCAGTGACGTCACCGACCTGTCCGTGACGCCACCGGTGCTGGCACAAAGGCCGTGCGCGGTGGCCCGTTACGGCGGCCGGCCGATCAGCTGACCGCCGCCGCCGCCGCCGCCCGTGAGCGGCGGTCCGTTACCGGGCGGCCGCCGCCGCCGCCCCCGCCCCCGCCCAGCCGCGGCGGCACGGACGGGCGGGCGCACCCAGTTCCGGCCCTGCGGGGTAAAGTGGGCCTCGTCGGCCGCTCCACTGGGGTAAGTGGGTCCCGGAGTGTGGCGGGCAGACCCGGGACGCGGATACCGGCTGAACAGAGGAGTGGCGGCCCCGAGGTGGCGGCGAAAGGCCGCACGATACTGGGTCACCGGTCAGGGTACGGTGGTCCATCGGCAAACAGGAAGGAGAAGAGACGGCGCGAGTCGATTTATCCGTACCTGTAGCTTGGGCTGTCGTTTGACAGACGCTAAAGCGATGTATCTAATAGTTATGTCACCGTGATTGGCTAGCTCGGGCCGGGGCTCACGGGCTTCACGCCATCCTGGCTAATTCGGATCAGATCTCACGTTTTGTTCCGGGCGCCATAAAATCAAGCCGGTCACCAGGTGGCAGGTGACCAGGTCGGACACGGTCCTGGCCCAATTTCTTACCCACTTACCTACTGCCCAGAGTATCTCTAGCTCTGGATTTGTGTCGAGACTGAAAGCACTCTACCTTAGCCAAACTAACAACTAAATCATCGAGCATGCGTTCATAAACAAAGAGGAGGCGTAGGTACCACGCCCTGTTAACGGGGTGCGTGGGACGGACGGCCTGCACCGCACGCCCAACTCGACCTTCAGAGCCGACAACAAAATAATTATGACATCACGCGGCGTTGGACAAAACAGGAAAACCGAAACAAGTGGGTATTCCTTCAGGCTCATTGCAAATAGTGTGGAGTACCGATGCACAAACTTTGCCGATATGAGCGACTGCACGCCTGGAACTGGTCCAAAGTCAGGGGTGGCACCCCGCAGGACACAACACCACAAGCCAATTAGCTGTGTGGTCAATACGGTCCCCTCCCTGCGTGCAGGGAGCCAACGACCCGCCAGGGGTGAGGGAGGAGGGCGTCGCCCCTGGCTGGTTCAGCCGAGCTGTCCAGCAAATTAGGCCTCGAGGGACCATAAAACACCCCAGCAGACAACTACAGTCATAGCCGATGCATTTTCCATGATTCGGCTTCTACGCTCGATTCCGAGTCCAGAAGCAGCATGGTACCCATTGACCATTAAAAATCATACACTTGCAAACAAAACGCAATATCCCTTTCCCTGAAGTCATTGACCATGTTGCAGAGCAGTTGCTCATTCGTTTTACCTCATGCCTAACGCTCTACCATTTATCCCCACTCCGTAAAGATCAGACACGTCTGCGTAGACTCCAGCCCACCCGGATCTGATCACGAGCAGACAAAGACACTCTGAGTCCCACACGTGTCCTTTCTGAGCTGCACAGCGCATACCTGCGGGTCGGCAGCGGTCCGCGCCCGCAGCACCGCGACACGGAGGTGCAGTGCACTGCAGACAGAGAGGCGCGCCCCGTGCGGCGCAGTTCTGAATAGGGGCCGGGATGACGTGTCTCCCCTTCGCTGTAGACGGGTCATACCCGCTGTGTCATGAATTGCAGAGTTTAAAGGAACAGAATATGATTGAAATATGCAGGGAGGGGGAGAGTTAACACTGGAAAGATGCTGAGACGGATGGAAGCAGTGAAACTACGTGCGGCGTGAAACAAGGACCGGGCGTGCGATAAATCGGGACGAAGTGGCTGTCGAGACGCAATGTGAAGCGAAGCGAAACAAAACGCTCAGGGACTTTAAACGACCAGCGAATTGACACGGAAATGTCCAGTCAAGTACGGCAAATCGTCCCTTGAGCCGAAATGACCGACGAATTGTATCAGAACGGCCAGGAAGCGCGGTGAAATGACCACAGAACGGTGTGCGTGCCGGAAACATCAGCGCCGCGGGCGGGCTGCGCGCGCCGCGCGGAGCGGTCCCGACTCGCTCCGTTCCCCGGCGCGGACAAAGGCCTCCACGGTAGCTGAGCAGGCCGGCCGGCCGCCGACCACGAAACTGGCACCGTTTTGGGCCGCTTTTTACCATCCTGACGAACCACCCGGGGGAAGATCGGCCGATCTTTTGATCCCCGGGTCACCGCGGCACACTCCCGGCGCCCTCAGATGCAAATGAGATGCGGCGGCCGTACAGAAAGCCCGCCGCGTGCCGCTTTGTTTCGCTGCATCCGCGTCCGGCTTTGTGGCGCAGTTTCTGACCGATGTGGCCATTTAAACAGCCCCGAGGAAGGCACGTCGCTGAGATGCATAATGCATCGGACCGGAGCCGTTTATCAGTGGGGAGGCGCCCCAGCTGCCGGCAGGGGCATCACCTGCCGTTTGGGCGCCGCCCGCCGCGTCCCCTCCCGAGAATCGTCACCTGGTGCTCGCTGCTCGCCCGTTTGAGCTCGCTGTGAGCGCCACAGACACGCGCTAAAGTGGCGACCGTCGCGACCACCTGCCGCCGGCGTCACCCCACCATCACCTGCCCGACGCCGGTCGGAGGAGAGGAGTGCTGCACGAGCCAACAGGGCGGCCGTACCGGCGTCTTTAAACGACCGGACCGGCGTCATTCGAACGAACATTCGAACGAAGGTTTATCAACGCGGCTGGGAGAACATCCATCTAAACCCCATCAAACCTGACTTTAAAACCACACCGGCGTTTAACAGAGCAGAACAGCGGTGAATGGCACGATAAACCTCTGCAGCTGGCCCCTCCGCAGCTGCCGGTCCCCCCGCGGCCCGTACAGGATGTCTGGCGACCCCGGCGACCTTGACAGCTCCTCCCTGCCGCCGCGGCAGACGCTAATCTCAGCGGCAATCCCTCCCTCCCCTGGTACCGCGCTATGCAGGCTAAACCCTTTTGCAGTCCGCCGCGCCGCGCCGATATAGCCGAGCCGTTACGAGGGAACATTCGAGTCAGAGGGAGAGGCGGACTGACTGCCGGAGCTCCATGGAGGGAAGGGTGAGCCAATGGGATCTGGCTTTGCAGGCGGCGATGGGAGAAGCTTAGGGGAGCGACCGATGGGACGAGCCGATGGGGTGGGACGATGAAGTGGACAGGTGTAATGGGACGAGCCAATGGGATGGGCGAAGGGGACTGGGTCAGATCGAGGGGTGGGCCGATGAGATGGGCCGGCGGCCAGATGGGATGGGCTGGCGGGCAGTGGGATGGGCAAATGGGATGGGCCAGCAGGCCAGCCGCAGAGGCCGCGCCGCCGTCCATCGCTCCGGCCTCCGGCGGTGGGCGGACTGGTCCGACTTGCACCGTCACCGCCGCGGCCAACGGACGCCGGCCGACACGGCGCACCGCAGCATGCAGAGAACGCCGCGTGCACGAACAAAACCTGCCGTCTAATGGTCCTTTTAAATGACGGCGTTTAAAAGCCGTGCTGGGACGCGATGCGGCTCGGATGCGATATGCGATACGGTGGGGACAGCTGTTATCTGATCTTCTCCGAAGACAATTTTACACAATAAAGTTGTTTCACTGGTTTGCAATTAAAGCTAAAAATGAGAAGAAAAGAGGTTCGTCCGGTACTCACCGTCCGCTGAGCGGGAACTGCCGGTCGAAGGAGCTGATCTCTGTCCGGCTGTGGCGCTGGGCGAGCCGGTCGAACAGGGCCAGGACCGTCTGCCCGGGCGAGGAGGCGTCCTGTCTCCGTCGGACCCGCGGTGACTCCTCCTCCGTCGCTCGGCCGACCCGCGCCGATCCCGACGAGAACTTGTCGTAGAGGGTGTCGAAGTCGGTGAGCCGCTCGATGGCCGACTGGGGCGCCCGGGAGTGGTCGTCCGAGTACACCTCGGGCCGCTCGTGGTCGTCACTGACCACACAGTAGCGCGTGCCGAACCCCAGCGTCGAGAGCACAGAGTTCATGGTTGAGGTGTGTGGTGAGGGTAGCGGACACGCGCCTCAGAGCTGCCGACTGGTCGGGAACTGACCGGCAGAGCTGGGCGGAGCCGGCGCCGGCGAGCACACCTGGCGACCGGCCCGACCTCTGTCGGCAGGCGCTGAAAGCGTCACTGTAGTGGCATCTGGCGGTGAGCTGTCCAACCTTGGCTTCTAGGAGTGTGGCATATCATCACTGACCAGGGCGACACCTAGGGGCTACTTACGGAGTTAGCTTGCGACGGCCAATGACCGATTCGCTGGCATTCACATTTAATGTCTTCCTCCCATCCTATTTAGTATTTAGCCTTCAAGGAATATATGCCACCCATCATTCAGGCCACTGAGGGATCAGCGAATCTCTCAAACACTTGCAACTTCCAAGCGATGCGTAAAGAACTAGGGTTGGATGAGGCGAGGAAACTAGTGAATTAACTACCGTTTGTGCACAGGATACCGGGAAATAAGTAATTACCAGAATTGTATGCCCTCAAATCTGTGAAAATCACCCATTTAAATCTGCACATCTGTGTTCACTATACAAGAAGAAAATATGCACGCATTATCCACTCTGACATGCATCTGACGTCACCCGCATGAAATTCAGCGAATGGACATTCCGTGGCAAGGCGGACAAGCATCAACTATTAATTGCGAACCGCGACGCCAGGTGGCAGCGGAGCAGCACACCTCAGGCTGGAGCGGCACGCCTCTGCACCCCTACTCGGGCTCTTTCTCTCTAGATGCAACGTCCCAAAATTCCTAAACTCATTGTGTTTTCTATTCAATATCAAGATGAAGCACAGTTCCATGGAGAAGCGAAATGCAAATGCCAGGTCTTGGTGACCTAATGACATCTCATAATTGCCCAATGGTTACACTTGGGACACAGCAACCAAGTTACCTTATACCATATACACTGAATTAAATATTGATATTATCGACAATGGGTCCATCGTTGAGGTTGTTTCACGAGAAATGGTCCTAAAATCAAACAAACGCATAACTCCTCAACAGTCAAGCAAGCGGAAAAGACCAACGCTGGCATCTTAGCCCTTGCCTGACACCTCCTCGAAACATTCTATGTCGCTTCTCTTAAAAAAGTACCTATGATCCGCCTTTTCACGTCAGCACTGAGCACGATGAACACACCACACACGAATTTCTTTGAACCCTAACAAAGATGGTCCATCGCACTGAGAAAGGTCAACATTATTAGGGCTCAACGGTCTCTCCCTCGACGCTCGACAGCCTCACGGCGCTGTCGACCCTGAGACGACCCGACCTGTATCTGGCTGTAACCGGTCGAGTGCGGCCATCACGCGTAGAGCCGCGTGCGGCTGATGACCAGCGGAGGACACCGGTCGTCGGGGGGCACGCTGCTCTGGACCAGTCGGAACCAGCGGCTCAGGTGCGGGTACGCCTCGCGCTCCTGGTGTGATAGTCGAGACTGGGAACCCAGAGAGGGACAGTGGAGACATTATAGTGAAAACTGAGCAGCAATTTCTGAGAAATGCCTGAAGGCTGAAATAGTTACCTAGTAACAATTATTGCAGTAAGTAGCAGACACAACACAAACTGGATTACTGTCTCCTGACTTGACATAACCTTTCATTTACTGATGGATATGAAGCCTACAGGCAAAGAAAAATGCTTCACAATATTAGCAAAATTTTATGCCTAAAACCTGCTCTCCCCCAAAGTGCTTACCAGTGGCAAATGGATAAGTTTGAACACGTCTGTGTCAATGGAGGTGGCTTCTGTTCCGACCAAATAGGTCTTGTCCGCCAGCCAGTTGTCCACATGCTGTGAAGAAAAACTCATCAGCAAAACTGGGGCAGCTGCATCAGGGAATTAGTGAGGACCAGGTCTATAGAACTTTGAAGTCCCAGGGCAGGACATGGCCTGGGATGGTCATGGGCCAAAAGACACAGCCATGGGCCAGGCAATGCAAATAAGACACAAGAGACGCTGCAATGGCAATCCCCAAATCACCATTATATGCAATGTTTATTGCACTTTATATTAAAAAAGAGCAATTAACTCGGTGGTGCGAACAGGCAAGTTGAAGTTGGAATGCAATTAGTCAGCAGCTGCATTCACACCTTTACTTAAACTAAAGCATGTTCAGTGGCATTAACAGGATGCATGCACCTTTCTGCATTATAAAGATTTCTTTTATTTGATGGATGAATGCTGAAGTGCTTGGAAAAAGGTATGAAAATATAGGGTTTACCACACACCTTTAATGCAGCTTCAGATGGAGCAGAGGTATTTCGCAAGAAAAGCTCGGTAAACTCTCTCCATTGCCATTTCTGAGAATTCAACAATGCCTCCTTAGTCATAATTATAAGACAATTCCCTTGTCACTTTGACTTTCGCCTATATATCACGCTTGTGATAAATACCGGGCCTCTAACAGCTGTATCTCGATCATATCATATCAACATGCCGGCCAAGTGACGACAAACCCTGCGCAGCTGCGACAAGAAAAAGTGTTTTCGTAGACGGCCATTTGCGAGTACAAGCAGATTTGATGACGACTTAATCCAAAAAACAAATTTGATTGGTTCTCATTTTCCGCGTACTTTCCGTTGATTCGTTGAAAGGGTTTTGCTGATGAAAGCTGGCACAGAGCTGAATACCCACTCTGCCAAGAGGGCGAATGATCAGTAATGATCTTTGGCTGCAGCATATTTACGTCTGGACAACGAGTTGCGGGGAAAAGTGCTGATTGTGTTGCAGTTTTAGGAGCCGGTAATTAGGCTGGATTTTTGGGTTACTTTTTCGTACCGATTCATGTATTTCATAGTGTTTGGCTTTTGAATATTTTAGTTCTTTCAGATAAATATTACTTGCCTTACAACTTTTGTAAAAACGTTTCATTTTTTTATAAGCCGACGTTCAGAGTCCTAAAAATACATCAGCACTACAATCATTGTAAACAAACAAATGGAGCACCACTTGGCTCTGTTCCAAGGCCATTTTTTAGTTTATCTGGTGGTTTTCTTGCTCTTGTACGTCGTTTTGTTGGATGTTTTGAATCCCTTAAGATTGACTTATATCATATTTAAGAAGCATGTTGACTGAAAACAATCTGAAGTATCCAGGAGGCTGACAGAGAGAGGTCCTGACTACTGAGCAATATAAATATCAAGTTGAACAAGTTATGAAATTTTGGTTGATAAACGCAAGTTGATCGGGCTCATATATCACTCAGCAAGAAAAGGTAAAATTAAAAGAGCTTATTGTCCAAAAACAAGCTATAATATTGCAGACCTTGGAGCAATACTGAAGAGCACGCTGAGCAGGATCATGCCAGAAATGTTGACTGATGAGCGCATATTGATGTATTGGTATGAATATTGAATAATAACTTACAACAGCAAGATAAATTAGTGCTAACTATCAAGTTAAAATCTAGAATGAATGGACTTGGGCAGTTTTACTATGCTTAGATGCTATGCAGATTGTAATGTGCATCAGGTACTCAGTGTCTGGCAAATGAAACATGTGATCATTCCATTGCTACTGGAGGAGAAAGCTTGGATCACTAAATCCACTTTATGTTGATTTTGATGTTAATCATCATCACTGTATTTCTTGAAAAAGGATTGTCGTAAAATTGTCAATGTGACAATCCATGCAGCGATGTGATCATATTATGTGTTCATAGTCATTCGTGATAGTCATTATTGGTCCAATATACAATGGCAAAGCTCTCAGTTTCAGCATTTCTTCCTGTGGATGGCCAGCAGTGACTCCGAGCTTAGAAGCATTAGTTTTCTTCACAGGGCTGGGATAAAAAGTACTGAGGGTAATCTTCCACCAAGGAACTCTACTTTGACATGGTATGAGATGTAGGCACAATTAGGTAGGTGCTCAGTTCCTATAGTCAGTAGTTGTGTATGTTTAGTCGGGTTAGCTTAGATCAGATTGTTAGTTTTTTAATTTGCCAAATGTCCATAAAAATGTGACCTGAGCAATGAGCATACCTGAACCTGACTAACCTGACAGCTGACCTAACCTCAATCATCACACATATTTGCAGCCTACCCAAGACCTGCATGGCAGTAGCACCCAGTTATAGGTAGGTACTCACCCTAACTCAATCTTACCTGCTAACCTTCACCTTGCCAAAAGTTAGCTCAAATTGCCAAGCTGTGTCCAGGGAAACAGTCAACTGAGGAACTGGCTCATTGGGTGGCTGGTGTGAGTCTGTGCATTTTAAGTGTTTCTTCTCTGAAGCTGCTCTGCACTGCTGTATGTCATGTTAGATGCTCAGAAAATGTGGGAAATGATTACTAAGCTACTTTAGTGCTTTATTAATGCTCGAGACATGAACAAGTACAGATCCTGCAGGGTACAGCTATGAGTTAGGTGCTAGGTGAGTATGTTATGTGAATGTGCTGTTCCCTGTTTGACCGTAAGTATACAAACAAGCACAGGGTCACAGTTATATTCAATCTCCACATAAACATACAACAAAAACGGCCATATAGCCTAACTCCGATCACACCACAGATAACTTAAGCCTTTGAAGGCACAAAATGTTTTGATTGACAGGACAGGTTTACAATATATCCTCTGTCCTTGGGGGATCTTGCTGCCAAGTTGAGGTATGATGACTGAACTTCAGGATTGATCAACCTTTTCTTAGCCACTGCTTATACATATACGAGAAAGACCAAATGCTTGTTTGTTTTGATTTACAGGACATGTATACAATATATCCTCTGTCCTTGGGGGATCTTGCTGCCAAGTTGAGGTACGATGACTGAACTTCAGGATTGATCAACCTTTTCTTAGCCACTGCTTATAAACGAGAAAGACCAAATGCTTGTTTGTAAACTGCGTTGAAAATTTAATGATCCACCTTCAATTCTGACATGAAGGCACAAATGAAATAGTTCCCTCTCCTTTTGGAATACACAAAGCAAAATATTTAATAAATTTTAGTGGATGGACAAGAGCAATTAGCACAGCTTTCCCTCAAGTTAACTTCTGGCACTGTTGTACATACACTGACGCTTATTCGCTTCATATTTTGTAAAAAACGCGCTAAAACTGCAATATAACAGCACTATATGCTTCTTGACAAAATGCAAAAGTATTAAAGATTTAGCCCTGATGGCATTCATTCTTGGTGGAAACGTAATTAAAAAATATTTTGTAGTAACTATTAAATTCCGGCCGAAAACAGTGCACGGTTTAAAAAAGAATCATTCCAATGACGGTCCATTCTTGCGGTCCTGAAATCGCCACTATTTCCGGCCTCTCCAACGCAACTCGTTGTCCAGACGTAAATATGCTTGGCTGCAGGGGCCGCCGCGGATCACTGTGCTGGAACGAGGTCGACGGTGCGGTCGCGTTAGGCCGGGGGAAAATACGGTGAGAACCCGCTTCGATTTTGAGTTTTGAGTGAATGTCTGTTTCCTATGTTCTCACGTATTCTAGGTCACTGGCTTGTTGGATAGTAGATCAATCAAGCGTCTGTAAGTGGGGCGCAATAGAAGCGCTTCAGACTTCCACTTTGGTATAGGATGATATCAGCACATCAGATTTATCCTTTTCATGGTTGCTGATCTATCAGGCATATACCTTATTGGAAGTGTGAGATGTGGAATGAGTAGGGTATGTGTATTAGTGGCCATTGGAGTGACTGAAAGCCTCAGAAGCTTCAATTTTTTTATTGCTCAATCCTCTTGGATTCTGACCTAGGTGGGGAGTGAAGGTGAGATGAAATAATTGCCAAAATTAATGGCTGGAGTTGATTTGGTTCTGCCTTATGAACAGTGCTGAAATCGGGTTTCATCTCCCCCCCCCCCCATACCACCCAGAGGCTACGGACAACCGCATCGGACAGCGAAGAAAGTGCAGTCGTTTTTTTATCGACTCCTCCATCATTGGTCCTGGCATTCATCGTAACCGAGTCCCAGAGAACCTTTCCTAATTAGAATTGAGGTAGGTTAGCTCGATCGTCGGTCTGACTCCGCTCTAGTCCTACCTACACCTCCCAGCCGCGGGGCATGGGAATGTTATCGCAGTGCCGGTTGTTGCGCAAGTCACCGTGATGGTGCAGTAGTCCGCCCTCTCGGCACCTGCGCTCACGGACCGTGACCGTCCCCGCGATGGCCCGGCGATCGAGTTTGCCCGTCACGCCAGATAGGGTCGACAGTAGACGCACGGAGGTGACGTGACGAGGTCCGCGGAGCAGGGACGGCGCTGGCCGACGGTCGGTTCTGGGTGACCGGAGCGGCTGGTGGGAGCTGAGAGCCGCTGAAGAACCTGTCCCAGCTCCTCTGTCGATCGTTGTTTGACAGGTGGAATCGGCCGGTAGCGATGCACCAAACATTGTTTATTGGAACTTCTTTCCTGTCTCTGCCCTGTGGATAAAAAAATGTTCATGCCTCGCGTGAACAATTTCACGCCTCGCGTAGCCACAGGCCACACCACACCTTGCTCAACATTCCTTGCCCCACGCTAGCACCCCAGTTTGCCCTTGTGAGTGATGATGCCCGTTCTCTGCGGTTACGTTCGTCCCGTGTTTTCGACGCCATCCGCCGAGACGCCCAGCCATCACGCGCAGCCGCGGAAAATCGGTTTTCGTTTCGGTTATAGGCCTGGAAACTGGGTTGCTCACTCATCCTTAGCCGAACGCCGTTTCTAGTCGTTACCATGGGAGCCAATATCAATTATATCAACTGCGAGTTGTTACGGCCCGTGCGTTGTGAAGACTGGCTCTGGAGGAAGGTCCATGACTGATCAATTGATCGATTGTGAAACGGTTACATCATGTCCGACTGCGTGGTCGCCGGGCCCGTCTGTTTTATAGTTGATGTGAGGGTAGTTGGTGCTTATTAATGTCTCATTAGGCGGGGTGCCTGAGGCCAAGCGAAGACGAAACTGCATCGAGCTGCTCGCTGGTGAATTTCAATCACGTTCAGATTCTCGCGGAGTATGTAATCGTGGTCATCATGGTAGAATGGTTACCGTGTGCCTGCCCTAAATTATGTTCCGTTTTGTTTTATAGCATATCGTTGGGTGATAAAGAATGACCGCAGTTTGTCTTTACGGTAAAACTGTCAGTGATAAGCTGTAAATTCAGACGCCTCAATGAACTAACGATAATTTACCCTCCGTTGCAGGTCCGCATTCGCAGCAAAGCAGTGATCTCCGCAGCATAACCGACCATGTCTGAAAAGTAAGTGTTTACCTCCTGTCGATATGACGCGTCATTGACACGGATCTGGAGCGATTATGAAACTGCTCACGAGTCGAGGGGCCGCGATTACGATTGATTACGATCGCCGACTGCCGACTGGGGTCCTTTCTCTCGGCTGGCGGCCGGGCTGAATTTCTCCTCGGGAGGGTACTAGAGTGACCGTAGGGGTTCTGAGACCGGTTTGCTGTTCATGGGCGAGCCACTGGAGTTAGGACTCTGGGAGTTGCTGTATGGTGTCTATGAATGCTGATTGCTGGCGCTGTCTTTGGTTTCCGTTCGTCATTTGAGTTTTTAGTTGAAGCTCACCATTTTTCTATCATTCGTTGTTTCGACAATCCATATTTGGTCATGTCGTGCTCGATAGTTGGCTAATTTTCCGATACCTAAATGGGGACAGAATATCTGCTCACCATATCGGCTATCTCATGGCACTCCTATTCCGCCATCAGCCTTTCACGGCCGGAGCCCTGGCACACTGGACTGACCTAACAAGAAACACCTGTCTTTCTCGCGCCGCCCCGCCCCTCCAGCCACCCCGCCCCACCCTCATATACCAGCTGGCAGTCAGGAGGGAGTGTCTAGCGGGGAGGAAGGGAGGGGAGAGGGAGGGGAGAGGGAGGGGAAATCGGGTCGGGTCGGGTAGTGGCCGCTCTAGAAAGCGGCGCTGACCACCGCCCTCCCTCCGCGACGGCGGTGGGCCGAGGTTGGAACCCTAGCTCCCTCAGAGATCGTGACGCTCGTAGAACCGCTCAGGAGCCTGGTGGTAGCCAGAGGAAAGGGGGCGTCGCTGAGGAGTCAGAAAGTCCGTAATGAACCGCGATAGAGCGTGGATTGTAATTACTGATAATCTGGGATCAGCAGGCTTCTCATGGTGCGACTTCATGAGAGCAATGCGACTTCGGATTTTGCCACCTGATGGCTAAATTCGAACGGGCTTTGAATTAGCCTGATGATTTAGATTGCATGTCGGAGGAATAATGACTGGAGATAGGGCTAAGCAGAGCTGGGCGCGTTCCTCGATTTTCGGTAGTGCGTTAGCGTTCCTGCGTTCCTCCGGCCGCGGTTAGTGCGTTCCTGGAATAGCGTTCCTCAATTTTTTTTTTTCGCTCGGTGCGTTAGCGTTCCTGCGTTCCTGCGTCCCAAACTGTTAACCCGTATTGTATTCTGGCTCTACCAAGCAGCAAATCATACCAAAATCAGTGCAACGCAACACTGTAGCGGACAAAGTAGGCAAATCGCGCCAGTCCAACACTACAGGCGTGTTCTTCACAACCGAAGTCGTGGACAAAGAAATACCGCCGAACCACGCGGCGCGGGCCCAACCAAACACGGGGCGAATCGATCACAGAATACCCAGAATGGCGACGCGGGGCCGAAAAGCAACTCGACATCTCTTTTCCGAATCGAATATCTGAAATACGTTTTACCAATATCATCCGTAGGGTTTTCAACAAAAATACGACCTGCTTAAAAACAATAGTTAAGTTGAAAGATGTATCTAAGTAAAAGTTATCATATTTACTTTACACATTTGATGCCTGAAACCGAATCGAATGGTGAACATCACCACTAAATCTAAACAAACCTTCCTCGATTTGACCGACAAGTGGCGCCTCTACCGGCAAACACACGTACTCGAGATTCAAACATTTGACACAGAGGTCATTGGCAGCAATATGATTTTTCGGGTGGTTCCGCAAGAACGCAGGAACGCTTCAAAATTTCGGGTGGTGCGTTCCTCTTACTTGCGTTCCTTTGAAAAACTTTGCGTTCCTGCGTTCTTGCGTTCCTAAAAAGGGCGGTGCGTACGTACGGAAGAACGCAGGAACGCACTAAAGGAACGCACTTGCCCAGCTCTGGGGCTAAGTGCGTGATGGACAACAGTGCAACCGTATGTCTTTTGTGTATGTCCATTAACTCTCACTTCTCCGGTCAGAAACGAGTGAAGGAAGTGCCGTCATGCACAGTGCACACACATTATGGGTTGTTAGGGTCGTTTGGTAAACGGAAACTAACGGAGGCTGCACTGCCTGGACACAGAGTACCTTCCTTTGTTCCTACCAGCCATCTCCGGCGCGAGCTCCCCGGCAGAAATGTGGCGAAACTGCTGCGGGCAGTTAGGAGCGCCGCGTTACCGTGACCTCACGGGGAAAGTGTACGTCACGCCGTGACACCGGCACTCTGTCTGTATGTATGTCTGTCTGTGTGTCGTCACCGCCCGCTTTTACAGTCCCGTAGGCGCAGACACTGGCGATGTATTGCAACATTGCAAACCATGGGCGACGATCACAGATGGGTTGTTTTCAATGCTGATGTAGTTGACTGTTGAGGAATTCACTGCGAGCTCTGCTCCATCGCAGTACCTACATGTAGGTAATCCCGCGGCATGAAAACCGGAATGATCAGCGCTGGGAGCTGCGACGTCCGCCCCCTGTGGGATAACCGGAATGTGGTAAATACTGGTGATGCAAATTTTGAAAATGGGCTCGGTATTTGATCAAGTTGAGGCTGGCTGAGGTTTCATATAGGAAAACTGAAGCTGGGATTAGGGAATAGTGTTTTCTGTGGAATGGATATTGGATAGCTTGGCCATGTGACGCAGGACTAAAAATTGATTATAGGCTTGACAAGCACCCCCAGGGGCTTCCTTGTCGAACTCGTGCCGAAGTTTGTTTTCACGAGGAAGTTAGTATCTCAATCGAATGTCTACCTACACTGGATAATCCAGGCCTCCCTACCCAGACAAGCGCAAGCCGGTGTGCTATGCGACGGAGTGGGGAAATTTGATGCGTCACATCTGCTCATGACGTATCTTCTGTCACCTTTCCGTGCCTTGCTGAGCAAGCAGCCACTCTTCAGCCGGACTAACGGGCACCCAGCCCAAGTCGCCCAGATAACCTGTTGACGCTAACGTGAGATGTGGCTATGGAATCATCCAAGCCTTTTACTTGATTGTGAAAGCCGTATCTTAACGAGCTGAGGCGCTCGTTTTTAGTTCCAGAAGGAATATATCACTCCACTGATCACCTAGCTACTGGACTAGCTCTGGGGTATGAATGAGCGGTATGCAAACGATGTCGTTTTAACGAGCTGGCCCGTGTGGGCCGGACTGGCGACACCGGAGGCTGGCGCGGTTCGCTGCTTCTCTGATTAACACCGTCGGCTACCTGACCTCAGAGGAACCGGACGGCGGCGGTAAACCCAGTGCAGGAGGCGCATACCACCCCGTCCGTAGGGAGGGTTTTTATCGGACTGCCGGAGCGGGCGGGAGGGAGAATGCCTAATCAAGCGGCCTGGCCGTTTCTTCCGCTGGACTGAGTTACTTGCCCCGCTGTCACGAGAATCAGCTCGTAGCTTCCATGGGTGACCAGTGGTGGCGGGTTTGCGTGTTGGACTGAACTGGGAGGTCTAGGCCGGTGACCTCTGAGCCACGCGGCCGAGAGACCCAACCATGTGTCCAGACGGGGGTGTCATGTCACCCACCCGCTGGGATGCCGCCGGTACCGGGAAAGTTTACTGGGGAGATAGGTATCCGAACAGGGGCTGGAGTGACACCAGGCATGGTTTGGTAACGGGAGATGCCGACAGTATCTGTGTTCAGATGTAGCAAAAACAGGATATATGTAGTTATAGCTACAGTTCTTGGACAGCAGGCTTCCTCACTTCGATTTCCTTTTATGTCTGCAGACACGAAAACATTGTCATTTTGTTTGTCCCTTATGCTGCTTCCATCTCCATGGAAACCATAACTGGATAATTACCACCATCGCACAACACTCTTGCCAGCTGCTGCCAATAAGGGTCAGCGATGCCAATGGGGATTCGCCAAAGCGGTCATTGCCCTGGACCCCCTCCCCCCGCCGACGCCGCCACCACACGTTCCAGGTATCATCGATCGAAGTGCCCCGCCCCTCCCCCATCCACCCCCTTTGTTGTGCTGGATTAGCATCGATATGCTAACAGTGAATCGTCGTCGGGCATACCTGGGCTGAACGCCAGTAGAGCTCTCCAGTCTATAGGTGCCAGGTCACAGAGGGACAATGACGGGGATTCTCCACTCGCTTGGTGGTGACGGTGGCGGTTGGAGCGGTGTTTGTGGGGTTTGTTTGGGGAGTCGTGACCTTGGCTGGATGACGGCGAGGGCGTGCTAATTGGATGCAAGGAGTGGCATGTCATTGTGGTATACAGTGGGGAACTTTGCCGGCAAGGTGACTGTAGAAGACTGGTCCGCGTCAGTGTGGCTACTTGCTAGGCTTACGGCGTCTACTGAAGCATGATGATGAAGCAGTGGCGCTATTACGAGAGCTTGGATGTGGAGGACGGTCTCAGCGCTCGTTTGTAACCGTGCAAAGTGATCGCCGTATTCCTGTCTCCTCCGAGTGACCAGCCCGCCTCGTCCGACCACCACCGTCCGCGGACCAAAGCCACCGTGTTCCGGTGTTTGCTGCCGCCGCGCGGTCAGCGGGCCGGACAAATTAGAGTGGCCACTTTCTCCGCGGCGTGTGCCCGGGGACGCGGCCAAGCGTGGCAGCCCCACGGCCCGGCGCCGCTCCGGCTGTGCGCGGCTCAGTGCCGACTGTCCGCGCCGTGGCTCCGCCCGGCTCCTGGCTCCCCGTGGCTCCGCCCGGCTCCTGGCTCCCCGGGGCTCCGTCTGGCTCCGTGTGTGTGTGGTTAAGCTCCCGTTGGCTTGGCTCCGTCCGGTGTGTTTGGTGCAGTGATTCGATTGTCACTGGTGTGACCTCTGGTGACCTCGGCCGGTGACCGTGACGGCTCATTGAGAGCGGCGAGTGACGCTAGCGCAGACAACTGGCTGGTCTAATAGTGCAACTTCTGGATTCCCAGCATGGGTAACGTCATCTCCTGCAAGCGGAAGCCGTCGACGGTGCTGGCGCCGGCCACGTGAGTTCCCGTAGCGAGGTGGAGCTGGGCTGGCCGGCCTGAGGAGGGGAGCGGAACACGGCCCGCGCTTCCCCGTTCTGTTCTAACGCCGCCAGACCTGACTGTGGCGTGTCTGGGTCGGGGTATTGTCTTGTTACACAATCGCAGGCACCTGTGGGCTTTCGTGAGAAGGGATGTCCCGAGTTCTGAGCATACCTATTGTGTTGTGATTCTGGATACCTACCACGCAAAGGTCAGGACTGAAATCCGGTTTTGGTCTGAAAAGTGTGACTCGTTTCATACCACCCTGAGGTGATTTGGTAACCTATACCCGTTGACCTCCGCCCCCTCCCTGGCAGTCCAGCCTGTCACTCGGGTATGCACCGTTTACGTTTTGAGCGCTGACATGGTACTCGACACAGCAGGGAGGGGAGGAAGGATTGACCTGGTAACACTGCCTGTCTGGTGGGCCGATGACGTGTCAGGAGTGATCACCCAATCAGCGTTTAGGACGGGCCGGAGACCGGCGGGTCAGCACGTTTTGTGATCAGCCGGTCGGCGACAGGGTCCAGGCAAAAACGGAGCCAGACAGTTAAACCGTGGCAGACCAGTTTTTTTTTTTTGCTGTTTACGGTCGATGAGTTAGCGACAGGCGTGGGATAAAACGGTATCTGACGCAAGCTTGTCTGGCCAACTGACCTGTTCCCAAATGAATAGGCCAAAATCGTCCGGCGATATCTATGGCGATATCTATGGTGTGGCTAAAAACCTTTCAAAGTTCGTTGATTTGAAGCTTGCTCGTTTTGTCTGATCATGACCCATGCCTTTGTGGATACTGAAACATGGATAAAAACAATAGATAATTTAATGGTATGAGGCATTTGTAACGTTTGAGTGACCGAATGTACGACTGCAAGTTTAGCTAGCCATGTTAAGTGAACATCGCCATGCACACGACCCACCTCTTTCGACGATCCTCTGTTTTCGTTATAAAATATTGTCCATCGCAGGTGCCGCTCCATCCCTAACTAACTCGCCCCTCCCCTCTCCCTCAGGGCGGACATCGCTCTGATCGGTCTGGCCGTGATGGGCCAGAACATCATCCTCAACATGAACGACCACGGCTTCGTCGTGTGCGCCTACAACCGCACGGTGGCCAAGGTGGACCAGTTCCTGGCCAACGAGGCCAAGGGCACCAACATCATCGGCGCCCACAGCATGAAGGAGATGGTTGACTCACTGAAGAAGCCGCGACGCGTCATGATGCTTGTCAAAGGTGGGTGGGAACCAGATGAACGCGCCTGGGTCGAGCGGGAGCGTTTAGAGGCTGTTGACGCGCTGACTGTGACCAAACACCACTGCTCGCTATAGTATTGAGTAGTGGAGTGGTGTTTGGTAGTGGTGGTGACGGAGGGTTCTGACTGTTTCAGATTTAGCCTTCGTTGGTTCGTTGGATCTGTGATAAATGACATTGCTCGCCTTGAGCGTGCCATGCCGGGCGGCAAACTATCCAGTTTCTGGGGATTGATGACTGCTTTATGGACTACCGCGGCTAATTTCAACAGAACCTGTCTATGGGTGCGAGGTTGATTGATGGATCTGCGTGTGGGCATTGAGTGCATATATGGCGCAAGCTCATCAAACTCGCACGAGCGATACAGGTGCCTTATTTTCATCAAACTCGCACGAGCGATACAGGTGCCTTATTTTCATCAAACTCGCACGAGCGATACAGGTGCCTTATTTTGTCCGATATAACACTCATGTTCTCTTGTTTGTCCATTTATTCACAGTAACATTTCATGTACGTAATGAGTGCATTGCCAGATTTATTCTCATTTGCACTCCGCAACACATTTAAATGCTAGGAAAATGCGTAAAATGCGTAGTTAGTCCAACTCTGCTCGTCGCTTGACACTCCTCCCTGACCTTGCCCAAACCAGCCCAAACATGGCCTGCCTGAGCCACCAGCAACGTCCACCTCGAACGTGACAAACATCCTCTTTCACCTCCAATTGGTGGATTCCGTCAGCTGTGACGCTCGCTTTCTTCGCTGGCTGTGGCGGCCGCTTTCCACCTGCTGCCGCTGGTCCGCGCCGCGATAATTCGATGACTGCCTGCCGCTGGCTGTCGTCACCCCCTCGAGCGATGACGGCGGTGACGACGGCGGTGGGGGTGATGACGGCGGTAGCGGTGGCCGATGGACTCGTGGAACAGTTTTAGGTGGGTTGGTGGTGTGATGGTGGTCAGTCGGTCACGGAAGTGAGACGTGGTCTCCGCCGCGCTGGACCCATGGCAACTACATATACGCCGTTCACGGTGTGGGGTTGTGACGGACAGTGAGGCAATGTTTATGTTAGTTCCGAGCGGCTGGAGTCAGCGTCACGGCTGTTAGCATCGTCAGTTACGTACATGACCATTTTTAAACTGTTGGGTCTTATCCCATACTGCCCAAACTTTTCCACCCTGGAGGCAGGAAACAGACGGACGGACAAACAGACAAACTGGCAAATAAAGACTCAGCCAGTCAAAAGGAGCGACAGACATGGACCAGATTTAGCCAAAGCTAAACTCTGATCCGACCGCCCTTCGCCAGCACTCGTTGCTTCTGCCTCCGTCCCGATCCAGTGGAGTCACCCTGGGTCATGAGGGTCGTGACCTCTGCGTCCGAAGTCACGACCTTACTGCACGGTTTCGGTTCCATTGAGGGTTGCCAAGGTCAGGTGTCTTTCAATCGCGGGTCGCTTGTAGTCACACATGTATCATCTGGTCTTCTCACACTGTTTCAAGACTCATTCACATCATAACTCATTCGCCGATTGCAAGCGGCCACAAGCACGCTGGTTCTTCGCATGCTGGCGCTGTGGCCGCCCTTTTCACGCTGTGGTTTTACTTTTTTCTGCTCATGATTATTCACTCGTTCAACAGGCGTGTCGCTTCAGTGCTACGTTGATCTCATAGGAGTGTAAGTAGACTGCAGACTGACTAGGTCAATTTCGATGTCGAAGGATTAAATCCCCGGGAAAAATTGGATTGTGTGGCATTGTCTGCTACCTTTTTTAGCTCTCTACCTTTATACCCACCAGTTTCCTCGGGAGTTGTGTTTTGTGGCATTGCTGCATCTGCATTCAGTGAGCCATGTGATCACTCTGTCACAGCTGCTAGCTAACATTGGAAAGCGTCCAACAGTCGCCTACCCACTACATTGCAACAGCTGAGTGCTCTAATGGACCCATGCGGGGCCCCAGAATGGCCACATGTAGTCTACACTCGATCTCCGTAGCTGTCATTGTGATCGAACTCAGGTGGTTTGCGGCTCGCCCGACGCCCGTCAGTCTCTGGCGCGCTCACTGCTCAGTTTGTGGTGACTTTCTCTCCGTCGTCACTTGTTTGTGGGTACAGATGCATGGCGTCACGGCGTCGCGCGCGTCACGGTCGTGACGGTCCGTCAGGGGGGCTCGTGATGCCGTGACGCCGCCTGTGACGGCGGCCCGTTACTGTGTCACGAGAGCGGCGGGCTCGGGCGGTTTTCTCCTGTTGCGCCGTCGTTCTGCGGCCTTGAGCTCGGTGGCGTGTGACTGCGGGAACGATATAATTGGTGTTTGTCTCAGTTCCCTGGTTTTCCGACAGCTGGTGTACTGTTGATCGAATGTGGAGGGCTTTATTCTCCTGTTTTGCAAACACTCATCATTATGTCATGTCGTGCATGTCTTTTCGCGTGTTTTAATTAGCTGAATTCTCTGCAGCTGGGTGACGTGTTCTGACCGGATTTTGCCTAAAAGAGATCCAAAGTCACGATTCACGACTAGTCTGCCAACATTGCCCTGAAGCTGGTGTCGAGCCGTGGACGGACGGACCGGTAACGCTCTGTGGTCGGCCCAGTCCGGCCCGGCGGGAGAGGCAACTTCCTGTGCCCGTGAGGCAACTTCCTGTCTCCGTGAGACAGCTTCCTGTGCCCGGTCCGATATGGCCGCCGGCGTCCCGGCCACTTCCCTCCTCCGACAGCCGCAGCTCGGCGGGAGGATAGGAAATGGCGACACTGTCCGCCCCACCGGACAGGCGCTCAGCATTGGAATAGGACGGGTGTCTGTTAGGAGTGCAACTAGTGAGTGGCGACGGGCGAAAACAACTAGCATTCCATCACCTCGTTGTCTGTGGCATTGCGGTTCGGTGTTGCAGCCTTGTGCCTATCGTTGCCTGTAGGTTACTGGATCCCTGAGATTGCGTGTCGCGCTGTCGATGCATGCTTTCTATCTTCTACTCTGCCCGTATGCGTCTGTCCCCGCCGGGCTGATCGTTTGGCACAGCTGTAGCTCATGTTCCGGCGGCAAGTGGTCTAAATCAGACCCATCAGATCCGGCTGTGTCGACTGGGTCGTAGTCGCTGCCGCCTGGTTACAGCCGTACGGGTTCTAGTATTGTCCCATCCCTCTAGTCTTGCTTGCGTCCTTCCCCACCCCGTTCCGCTGCGTTTGCCCTTCCATCTTTTTCTTTTTCTCGTCTCGTCCATTTTGTTCCACCGCACTAAGAGTTCGAGTCTTCGGCCCAGACCCGATCGAGTCGAGTCTTATCTCATAACGCCGGTCACGCCACATATGGTCAGGTGTAGGTACAAATAAAACGTCCGGCCCGGTGGACGAGATAATGTGACCTCGTAATGAAGGGAAATGGACGTTACAGCATGCTAGGCGTGCAATGTTGACCTGGCTTCGCCAATAGACTGTTGAGAAACTGTTGCTGGCAACGAGCGATCACCCTACCGAGGGTGCTAACTTTGATTGAACCCCCTGATGTCGCTGTAAGTCCGTGCCGCGCTACTCTAATGTCGTTCAGCTTATCTAATCGCACAAGTGTCCACCTTCCAATCGAAGTTATGCCGTACACGTAACGGTTACGTAATTGTTGACTGCCCCTGGTGGCTCGTTTATCTAAACAAAGTTACTATCACCCCTCTTTCCTCCTCCCACCGCCTATGACCCGTGTTCTCTCTTTTATCTCTCCTTTTTTTGCTTCAGTGCCTCCCTTCCCCTGCTCTGTTTCCTCTCCCCCTCGCCTCGCCACTCTGCTCACTCTCCCTCCCTCTTTCCCCTTCCTCCGTGTTCACCTCTGGGTCAAGTGGGCGTGGCCATACAGTGAGGTCAGTAGTGTGGGCGTGGCCCGGCCGTATACTGTAGAACTGCCCCCGGCCGGCCGCTACCTGACGTGTCGGAGATTAAAGACGCCCGATCGACACGATACCGGTGTGAGGGCGCGGTTATAGTCTGGTGCTGGCTGGTGCTGCAGCTGGTGACCTGGAATGGTGGCCGGGGTGTGGTGACCTGACCAGGAATGGTGACCATTGTCTGGAGTTGTGGAATGTTGACGGTTATTTGAACAGAACGATGGCCAATGTATGGTTTGATGAGGGGTTGATTTCGGAGATTGAGCGGCACCTTCCGTGGCGAACAGGGTGGATTCGCCAGAAATGAGGCGGAGGTGGTGTCCATAGCCGGATAACATGTCCTGTCCTGTCCACCGGGTCTGGGACGCAGACTGGCGGCGTTTTTGCTGAGGCTGCGTGGACGAACGTCGTGTCAAGAATAAAAAGGCGTTTTTTCTTCTCCATGTCAGCAGGGCCTTATGTAATCTGAGCGTGCCTAACGACGAGTTGTTCAGACTAGCCGAAAATGCACAGCGCTGCAGTTTCATCAGTTCTGTGTTGCATTGGAAGTCTGTATGTTCGTTCATTTTAGCGCGGTACGGTTAGGATACTCGTAGTCTGCTACTCACAGCGTCTGGCAAGGTGGTTTGGAGGTCACGTGAGCAGCACTAGTCGTCCGAGAGGAGAGGAGAGGAGAGGAGAGGAGAGGATGGTCCGTGCCGTGCCGCGGGCGAAAGTCTGTAGACGCTGCCTCTGACTCAGCTAGCTCCTCTCAAAAGCGGCACGAATCGAGCTAACTAATCATGATCGACCGAAAGCTGGGTAGTTTGAAGAATCGAGCAAGGTTGTTTCAGCTCTGGCATCGTCGGCGCCGGTGGTGGCTGCATTGGTCGTGGTCCGAAGTGACGCTAAAACGATCGTCATGGCTACGTATCGTAACGAGCGTGACTGGCAGACTCGTGTGTCTGGACGTGGGCACCCAGTCAGGCGAACTGGTGTGAGATAGGTGCGGTTGGTGGTGGTGGAACCTGTCGAAAAGATGAACGTGGTGCGGACATTAGGTGCATGGTGACGGCTGAAGTTAAGATATGTATGGTAAAGTTAGTTATTGTTGATAGTATGATGATTGGAGAGACCCATGATAGGGGCAGATGAGCGCAGGATGATGATGACCCAAGACAAGTTCGTTATGACACGCAGAGATGCGTGCTAAGCGCCGAAACCTGCGTGACAGATGGAATCATGTGCTGTAATAACCGTCAGCAGTTGCGTGTCATCTCCCTCCGTAGACCTGTTGTCACCGTGACGCGGTGTTTTGTAACGCTCACGGAACGGTGACGCGGGCCGTGACTGAACGAACAAACGTGAAGTTAGCGCGTCAGCTGGTAGCGCTGTGTCGTTAGACGGTGTGTACTTTGTGAGTGTTGTCTAACTACTTTTGGGGCGAGACGCTGTTGGCTGACCTCTTCCTTGTAGGTCTCTTTAGATGGATGCTTGCGTTAGGTACCAAATGTCCACCACAAACTACCTTCTTCCCTCATCTCCGACTGTCCCTCCCCATATTGACCTACCTCTCCCCATCTGGCCCTCTCCCCTCCCTTCAATCGCTCCTCTTCAACTCACTCTTCTCTCCCTCAGCCGGCTCGGCAGTGGACGCGTTCATCGACCAGCTGATCCCTCTGCTGGAGAAGGGAGACATCATCATCGACGGCGGAAACTCCGAGTACCAGGACACGCGCCGGCGCTGCCAGCGTCTGGCCGAGCTCGGCCTGCTCTATGTCGGCTCCGGGGTGTCCGGCGGCGAGGAGGGCGCGCGCTATGGGCCCTCGCTGATGCCCGGAGGCCACCCGGCCGCTTGGCCGCATATCAAACCCATCTTCCAGGTTTGTTAGGGGTATTGTCCGGATGAGTGAGGGGGATGCTGGTCTTTGGGGAGAGGAGATGGGTAGTGCTGCGGTGTGTCTAGTGGAAACTTTCGGTAATGTGTGGTAGCTGCACTGGTTTATGACTAAGATTGCCTTGAGTCTTGAACTTAGACGATGTAAACACCTTGTCAGCTAGCGACCGCCATTTAGAGGTTTGCGGTCCTTTTGCTTCAAGAAAAAATGCTTTGCCTACCTTCACCAAAACGTTAAAGTAATGAATTTGATGTATAACCTTTTTCTCGATGCATCATCTTCATATGTACCATTTTCGCGTGATTTACATTTTACAACATATCCAACGTTCCGGCACGCCTCCCTGTGCAGGCGATCGCGGCCAAGTCCGGTTCGGACCCGTGCTGCGACTGGGTGGGTGAGGACGGCGCCGGGCACTTCGTCAAGATGGTCCACAACGGCATCGAGTACGGCGACATGCAGCTCATCTGCGAGGCCTACCACCTGATGCGCGACTCGCTCGGAATGAACCACGACGAAATGAGTCAGGTGAGTCGGATGAGGAGTCAGAGATGAGTTAGTGAGTGGGGAGATGAGTCAGAGAAAGGTGGGATGAGAGAGGGGGATGAGAGGGAATGAGATAGTTTAATTCAGTCGTATGAGTTGCGAAATGCCTACCTTAGGGGATCCGTAGAACTTGGGAATTATTTCTAAATCAGATTATAATTGCTGCCCAATCAATTATCGATAGGAATTATTGAGTGTGTTATAAAATGAGCAGTTTAGCGTAATATGGGGCACGCCGGGCTTGCGTAGCACTTCAGAAATGTTCCAACCACTGTCCCTTGGTTTGTGTTGTTGACATGTCGCTTGGTATGCGACGTTCTCAGGCAAACTGACGGAAGTATTCCGTCAGTTACGTTTCACTTTCGGCGCGGCATGCCATCGGCGTCACATGAACACGGCTGTGGCGCGGGAACGCCACAACCGTCACAAAACATCGTCACGAACGGCACTGTGATGTAAATTGGGCCGCTCGGTGACCGACAATGGCGAAAGTAATAATGGGATGTCGGTATGAGTAGCTTCTTTAGAATGGTATCACCTCAAGGAGCCTCGTTCTCTTGATGAGACTCTACCATTGTGAGCAGAGCAGGATATCCATGTATATTTTTTTTTTTTTAAGCCAGATCCCCTGGTCCACCTCTGCGAATTACGGGCCACTATGCGACGTACCTAAACCACAGATCGTTCCGCACCCCTGCTTTGCTAACCCACCCGGACAGAGTCGTTAACAACTCTGGCCGAATGGGTGCAGTGCTCATTTCGACCACCAGGGCGGCGGGTAACTGTACCGCCACTGATCGGATCTCAGACTAAGAGCTGCATACCTCTCGTACTTTGTATGGTGGCTTGAGTAGAGTGTGCACTGTGCAGGCCACCCTCGAGGAGATCGTCTGAGAGGGTGGATTGGAACATGCTGCTGTACACTGTTGGGAATATGTGAGAGAGGGGAGGAATCCAGGACGGGAGGAGATAAACTGAGGGTCGTATGGTAGAGCTGCTGAGCAGCGAGCAGCTTTGAAATGACAGCAGCGGAGAAGGTGCGTCAGAATGCCGGGGACAGGGCCGGACCAGTTCCTTAGAGCAGTAACAGAAGCCGCGTGCGGTCTATTCAGGCACTGTAGACTCACACTGAGTGAATGGCGGTGTGCCTGAATGGGAGAACGCCATGCCGAGTCCCGCGCTCTAAAACTGAATTCCCACCGGGTCGGCGGGGTCAGAGGTGAGACCAGGTCATGTCAGCTCTCCATGACTTCACCATAACTTATTCACCCCACCTCCCCGTCCGGTGACCTGTTTCGTGCTCAACCAATACCATATCTCTCTCCGTCACCGACCGGGTCTGTGGAGGGTGGCCGGTCACGTGACTAGTCCATGGCCGGCCGGTGCGGCCCGGAGGTCGGTCACGTGATCGGCCCCTGACCGTGGCCTAACTCACGGGATGGCCGTCGCCTGCTGGGGTGTTTGTTTGGCTGAGAGTTTTTGTGGCGGTCGGTGAGGATCACTAGCTGTCGGAGTTAGGGAGCACGGACGATGCATCAATTAAACCATGACTGTAGGTGGTGTGTCACGAGTGGTTAGGTAACTGGAAATAAACAGTGTTTATTTAAGAGGGTGCAATAGCTTGCCTGGGCTGTATCCAGCTGAATCCTTACATTGCAAGATTTCTGCATCCAGTGCATGTTAGTGATGGAATCTCTCAATATAATTACTTGGAATTGCATCACGATTGAACCCAATAGCTCATGTTTCTCATAACAGTCATTTCATGGTAAATTTGCCTCATTGCTCTTTTTCCACAGTTCCAGCATGACATTGTACCCTGTCTCTATCTAATCGGCTTTCCTTGAGCTACGGATTTTCCACACCCACACGATCTGTTATCGCTCTCCGTCTTCTAACCCCTTCTTTCTCTCTCCCGGCAGGTTCTGAGCGAGTGGAACAGCGGCGAGCTGGACTCGTTCCTGATCGAGATCACGGCCAACATCCTCAAGTACAAGGACTCGGACGGCCAGCCGCTGCTGGAGAAGATCCGTGACGCCGCCGGCCAGAAGGGCACCGGCAAGTGGACGGCCATCTCGGCGCTGGACTACGGCGTGCCCGTCACGCTGATCGGCGAGTCGGTGTTCGCGCGCTGTCTGTCCAGCCTCAAAGACGAGCGGGTGACCGCCTCCAAGCACCTCAAGGGACCGGAGAACGCCAAATTCAGCGGAGACAAGAAGGAGTTTATCGAGCAGATCCGGCAGGTGGGTGAACTTGGGTGAAGTGACCTGAGGGTGAGATTTTGCGGCAAAATTAGTGCGTTTTTGCCCAACAGGTTCATTCCGCATAGTCACTGTTAAGTGCTTTGATATGTGAGTAGCCTTATATTTATCGGCCCATATAATGTGTTTTTTTATTCTTCTCATTTTTCTTCTTAAATAGAGAACTATGCATCCATCAGCTTCGTTTTGATGACTTATCTGCTCGTCCGCGCATTATTCCGACAAAGGAATTAATTGCTTTTGCACCAAGGACAGGAACTGAAAGGCAGGCAGTAAGGTCGGGTTAGTAGTAGTTAGTACGGTATCACACAGCGTCAATCACCGCTGTTTGTTCGTTGCTGCTGATTTGGAGGATGGCTGCAGAGTGATTTTTTTCCTCCTTGTCTAGCATGCATTCAACGCAATTTGCCGGGTTTCGTAGAGTAGATTCGCCGGGCAGCTTCGTGCCATTGCTGCCAGCAATATCGCTTTAAAAGATGGCCACGTTGACTGTTGTACGTACACTTTGACATCAAAGATTCGATTAAATCCAAGTTCCTGACCACCCTTTATTTCTGGCCGACTTTGTATTCATACATCGTACGGGCAGCATGCTTCATTGGTCATGTGGTTTGAGGCGCTTGAGCTTGAGTTCGCTCGAATAACGAGTGAAAGTTGCCCGTCAAATGATAGTTCTCGACCATTTATCGAATTGGTTTCTATTCTGCAGGAAGTTTGCTAATGAAATGGCCACGTCTGTTACCTCAATAACACTGCAGGTGCCTCTGCCGTATATCTTATCACCATCTCAGGCAGATTTGTTAGCCGCCTGGACTTGCATATGTAATCAGCATCTCCAGACCTGGCTGCTCCAAAAAGCCCTCCAGTACCATTGAACGTGACTGGCTGGAGCTCAGAATGGCCTCTTCAATAGAACTGGATACTCTGACCGTATAAAGCGACGGGTGCTCTTAAAAAAAAAAAAAAAAACGAGAGGCGCCGGTCACGGAACTTTCTGGGGTAGCGCCCGCTGGGTGGGGCTGCTAGGACTGAGTTAGTGAGGTCGCTGGGTCCGATTAGTGGGGCGAGTGGGCCGGAGCTGCTGGGGCGAGATTGTATGTGGGTCGTTGTGAGTAAATGAGCCAGAGGATGGTCTGATATCGGAGGTCGTCGTCGTTCTGTGAGCTTGGTGGAATGTTTGGCTGTTTTTGCAACATTTGGTATGGTTTGCGTGTCACGATCAACTGAATCGATTACCACATCAGAGAGCTTTTGAGACCTGTTAAAGTGATATACAGTCATTATTCAGCTGGTAACAATTTGGCTCGTGCAATTTCGACTCAGTGACAAGCTGTACTAGCTATGATATGCATATTGAAGAGTAATGTATCCAGTTTCTGACCCACGCGTCTCTGCCCTTTCTCCTCAGGCTCTGTACGCCTCCAAGATTGTGTCGTACGCGCAGGGCTTCATGCTGATGCGCGAGGCGGCCAAGCTGTTCAACTGGAACCTCAACTACGGCGGCATCGCGCTCATGTGGCGTGGCGGCTGCATCATCCGCAGGTGAGGTTTGTTTGTTTGTTTGTTTTGTTGGGTTAGGCCCTTTCGGTCCAATGAGACCATTTCAGAGCCGGGAGGATGATAGGATATAGGGGGAGACATTGGTCTGGGCAGGCACCCTAGTGAGTCGCCGGGGCTGAGCCCGTCCAGAGGACAGGCCACCCAGCCCCAAGGCACTCACTGCACCCGGCTACGGGGTGCGCTCCCCCGGGAGCAGCGGTGCCGCTCCAAGGGATCGGTGCCGCCCGCATGAGATAAAGCTGCCTGTCCAGCCCGGAGGGGGGTTGCGGCGTGGAGGAGGATTTCAGTGTCCTGAGGATAGAAGGACGGAACGGTCATGGGCAGGTTAGGGGGCAGGACGAGCTTATATGGACACTGGCTGCATTATCCATAGGTCAAGGAACGGAGAGGGTTTGTCTGGAGGTCAGAGGCAGTGGGTGCGCCCCCGGTGGTGAGAGGCAGAAAGTCGGCTCACAAGTGCCACCTAGCGGTGTTTGGGGAAACTCCAAACGCGACTGGGATGTTAGAAGCGTTAGCTACGATATTGGCACCTTGCAGGAGGGTTTTTCATCTAAGATAACTCTGATACTCGCTGCTGCAATGATTGCTCATAGTAAGAAGGCTTGCGTGCTTTTGTTTGGCAGTGACAGTAAAAATGAGCTCGATAAGAATTGGTTTTGGACCAGGCTGTGGCGCTACCTGAGCTCTGCGGATTCCTCAATAATTTTCCCTCATAACTAAATGTTTCTAACCCCTCGTGTGTGCGTGCTTCTGACACAGCGTCTTCCTGCCCACAGCGTGTTCCTCGGCAACATCAAAGAGGCGTTCGACAAGCAGCCAGACCTCTCCAACCTACTGCTGGACGACTTTTTCCGCGAGGCCATCCACCGCTCTCAGTCGGCCTGGCGCGAGGTGGTGGCCACGGCCGTCCGGCTCGGCGTGCCCACCCCCTGCTTCAGCACGGCGTTGGCCTTCTACGACGGATTCCGCTCGGAGCGTCTGCCGGCCAACCTGCTGCAGGCTCAGCGGGACTACTTCGGCGCTCACACGTACGAGCTACTCAGCGAGCCGGGGAAGTTTGTCCACACCAACTGGACGGGCACCGGGGGCAATGTGTCCGCCTCCACCTACCAGGCCTAAAGAGCGGAGGGGAGAGCAGGGAGGGGAGGGAGAGTGGTGTGAGGTGGCAGAGCGGCTGCGGCGCCCGGTGGAGGGGTAGAGGGAGAGCAGAGAGCTTGGCGGCCAGGAAGAGGGAAGGAGGCGCCTGAGATGAAATCACGGCTGGTTGGAACTTGACGGAACACGGCTGGTGCATGTCTGGAATGTTATGCGACGGACGAGGGAGTTGGGAGGGTGAGGGTTGTATGATTTCTTTGTTAGATGCGAGCTGGATGGTTTTACGTTCAGCCTATGCCCATTTCAGAGCAGGGCTCAGTAAAGTAAGATATATTTGGCTCAAGCCACTGCCCGAGAAACTAACTGAACGACTCAGATGTTGAGTCTGACTTGTTTGTACCGTTCGTTTTCTCCATTTCCACACATTCCAATCCGACCCGCCGTTCCTACGCCCCCTCTCGGTGTCTATCTCGTGTCTGTTGTCGCTGGGGCAGCCTGTCACCCTCCTCCGTGACATTTCTGACGGAGCCGCCACCGCTCGGCGACCGGTGTCGGTTGTTGTTCTCCCGCTCCTGGTTGTGAGGCCGGCGCGTTGTTGACTGCTGTATCGCGATATACTCGGATTGGTGCTCTGTCGATGGGAGGACGGTCTCACGTGATCTTTCTGTTTCGCTCGCGCGGTCTGTCCTTACCGTGAAGTGCGCGTGGTGTGTGCACGGCCGTTTGGTGAGGTCTGTTAGTTGGAGACGCCGCGAACAAAGTTATTATGAAATGATATAAAGATGGTCTATTGTATGAGGATGCAGGACCAATATTGAGATGTCCTCAAACGAAATGAATAAATATTTGTAAAACTCGTTTGATCTGTGTTTGGTGCTTACTGCTAGACACAACGAAATGAGCTCCTTTTTCCCGGCCATACGACTCGTTACAGCAATGTGATTTCATCTGGTTTTATCAACGTCACCAATCTCGAAAGTATGCATCATTAAAGGCAGACCTGCTGGCAATTATGGTGGAGACGCACCGTGCACCCTCACAAAGCTGCAGGGACAAAGTTCGGGATTGGTAAATAATCTTTTTGCAGCTACATACGATCTCGTAGAATGAAGGACCGATACTGAAAGATGTTGCTGGTGTTTCGCGCTTTTCATTGCATTTTAATTCCTGACAGCGTATTTCAGCTGCTGATTCGCCTGTCTGAAAAAATCGACCAATCGCTCGTCGAAACTGACGCAATATTCACCCTACCTTATGTGCTAGTGCTCGAGATGCTTCCCGTTTGTAGTTGGCGCACCGGAGTAGTTGCCCTCATTCAGGTTTACCTAATGTCTTGCTCTATAAAAAACGGCGTCCAATACATAACATCAATCGGTGGATTGAAAACACGAGAAATAAACATATCATGTATTCGTCTGTGGACAGTATTTGCAAACTATGTACAAAGCTTGTGATCATGAACGCCTCGAAGAGAATGGACGATATCGCTATCCGGCAATGCTTAAGTTGGCAGGATACCCACTATGTCGCACATTCAGTCTTTGTTCGAGAAGCGCAAGCAACGCTAAAACTATATACTACTGATCTGCAGCCAAGGACGGAAGCTTGCTGAAGCTGAGCACACTGGAAACCTTAAAAACACTGCCTGTGAGAAACACGCCAGCTTGAATAAAACTGATATGGATAAGTACAAACAAATTCTACCCTTAAGAGTAGAACCAAAATGGAGATCATAACTACGGAATATAACCAGCAAACACAAAGGTCGCCCGAAAAAGCCAGCCGATCGCACCAAGCTAAAACCAAGTTATTTTGTAGAAGGTATCGTCTAAATATGAGCTTTCGCTTTGTACACGGGCGCAAAGGGTATCTCAATGCAAACAGCAACACAATGCCACAGCTGAACTAGAAGTCGCCTACAAGATCGGCTGAACATAGTCACACGACTGGAAGACTGGACCCAAGCCACACATTAGGTCCCTCTTCAAACAGTCACAGACAGACACAGACACAACCACAGTCACGGCAGTCTAAAACATCGGGTCCTTTGTCAAGACCAGGTATAAACCATCTATTCACAACACGGCAGCGTTGGAAGGAGGCGGCGACCGGCTCGCCGAGTCTAGAAGTCGGCATCGAGCGTGAACTGGCGCGTCGCCGGGCTGGAGATGCTGTCCATGACGCCAGCCTTCTGGTACTCGCCTACTCGCTTCTCGAAGAAGTTAGTCTTGCCCTCCAGCGAGATGTGCTCCATGAAGTCGAACGGGTTCTCCGAGCCGTACACCTTGGTGGCAGAGAGAGTAAATGTGAGCAGGGAGGTGAGCGTGGTGAGAGGACCACGGGGAAGGTGAGATGGCGTCCGGTTGAGCAGAATGACGTGAGGATGTACAGCTACAAACTAAGTCCTCTCCGTATGCGGGCAGGTGGCGCCTGAGTAGCGCTCAGGCGCCAACTGCCCACTGGTGACCCGCTTACGGCGGGGACTTATTTTGTAGACCTACTGTAAGTGACGGCGATATCTTACCGTGCCGTATCACAGCAACACAACAGCCAAGGTAACTTGTTAGAATTAAACACTGTTACCTTTCAAAGATACCGTTATCGATACCGACTCTCTGATTGATTCCATAGAACATGGGGCTCAGGTCATGAGTTTCAAACATGTTGAATGTTGATATCGCCCGTTGATTCTTACAGCATCTAACTATTTACATTGTCGTCAGCATTCCCGGCTGCCCGAGCCGAGTCCGTTGAAAGCCAACTGGCGGGAGACGGTTATCATGAAATCACCGCCCACCGCAGCGCCCAACAAACAGCCGTTCAGCAATGTCCGGTTGCAGCGGGGCATGTGAGGGGAGGGGAGAGGATAAGGGAGGGGGAGGGAGTAACCGGAGGCCCCTCGGCGGCACACATGTTCCGACAGGAGCGGAGTGGCGGCCGCGGTGGCGGGAACGGCCCAGATAGGGGAGGGGAGGAGGGTGATAGCGTCAGCGGGGCTCGGGATCCCCCGTTGTTTGGCGCCACCCTCCAAAGCGCCGATACACGGCTGGGGTTTGAACAGTTGAACACAGCTGCCGGCCGGCGGGCCGTTGTGGCGGGAACGTGCACATGCAGGCCAGACAGAATTTGGCGTGCACATACCATGTTGTGTGATGACGTGGCTCTAACGTGTAGTGGAAAACTGGTACGGGACACTTCAACGGTTGCTTTAGAACTTGTTTGTACGCGCTGCACCCCGGCGACGTTTACACAAGCTTCAGCATACAATCACAGGAAAAACTGTTCTCCAGATTGTCTGGACACAGCAGACTCAGAAGCTAATCCATCAACCCGTCTCACTCTCCACGATTCCTTCCAAACCCAACCAAACTTACGACCATCCACACCGGCCGCCCCGCTTCACACACCCACCCACAATCTTGAAACAGGCGCCAATAGCCCACCTTTGGACATCCGAGCTCGACGAGTAGCCGGTCGGCCACAAACTCGATGTACTGCCTCATCAGTGTGCAGTTCATGCCGATCATTGCCACGGGCAGCGCGTCCGTCAGGAACTCCTGCTCGATGGTGACCGCCTCGCGCACGATCTGGGTGACCCGCTCCTGGGAGGGCTTGTTGACCAGGTGTTTGAACATCAGGCAGGCGAAGTCGCAGTGCAGGCCCTGGGGGAGAGGGAGGTGGGTGGTGAGATGACTGCCAAGGGTTGTAACGTGTAACAAATAACAATACGGAGATCGGCAAATGGAGGATAACTGTTAGAAACAGACATTAGTACTAGTCAGGTCGTATGCGTAAGGAAAAGTTGTGAAATTGAGTGAATCAAACCTAACAATGCTGAAATTTCGACATTAACTGGTAGAAAAAGATAATAGCGTCATCACCAAGGTATATGTAGAATTTAGACGTGCTCGGCATAGATCATTTAAAGGAACACTGGACTCTATGTCAGGACCCCTTTGCTGGGAATGGCAGCCCCTCCCTCCCTGCCAGCCGTCGCACCTCGTCCCGCGAGATGAGCTCGTTGCTGAAGGTCAGACCCGGCATCAGGCCGCGCTTCTTCAGCCAGAAGATGGCCGCGAAGCTGCCAGAGAAGAAGATGCCCTCCACCGAGGCGAAGGCGATGACGCGCTCGCCGAAGGTGGCCGTCTTGTGCGAGATCCAGTTGAGCGCCCAGTCGGCCTTCTTCTTGACACAGGGCAGAGTCTCGATGGCGTTGAACAGGTGATGCCTGAAGGGATGAAATCGGTTAGCATTTACGGCCCAGAAAGGAGCCAAGAAGGGAAAACGGGGACAAGAAAGGACCGACTAACGAATACCCTAAACAACGAACATTCCACGGCCAAATTAGCGTAAATCGTTTCTCAAGTGATAGACAAGTTGATTCGAAACGATTATTTATCTCGTGAATCATAATTACCAAACCGCTTCACACAAATCAAAGAAGCTACATGGACATCCCCGTTCACACCTCTCCTGCGGGTCCTTGACGTATGTGTCGATCAGCAGGCTGTACATCTCAGAGTGCACATTCTCCATAGCGATCTGGAAGCCGTAGAAGAAGCGCGCCTCGGGCACCTGCACCTCGGTGCTGAACCGCTCCACCAGGTTCTCGTTCACAATACCGTCCGAAGCGGCGAAAAAGGCCAGCACGTGAGAGATGAAGTAGCGCTCCTCGTCCTTGAGACCCTGCCAGTCGTCCAGGTCCTTCGACAAGTCCACCTGATGAGAGAGCCAGCACCGTCAGACACCAGAAGCGATTTCATGTGGTGGACGACTGCTTCCGACGCTGACTGATTCCGCAGGTCGCACAGCAAATAACGAAAAGACGTCTACCCTTCCAGGCGGTGGGGGGGGGCATCTTTTTACCCCTCCCCCCTTTAGTTTTTTTCGATATATCTCGAAAACCGCTGCGCCGATCGTCGCCAAACTTTCAGTACCCTCCCGGGATTGGCTATCGCACATGGTGACCAAAAATTTTTCCAAACGCTATGATAGGTTAGCCGCTAATGACGTCAGAGTGACGTCATTTCTGCCATTTTCGACCCAAAAAAAGGTTTCGCGGGAAGAGCTGTCAGGCCTACAGCTTCAGAGATACAGAAAAATGTTTCAGACATAAAAAGGTGTGGAATCAAGAGGGCTACAAAACGGGTATATCGGTTTTTCGAATTTTCTGGATTTTGACCCCCAAAAATCAAAAAATAAATTTTTTGAATATAATAGCCAAAAATCCTAAAAGTTTTTTGAATTAAAAAAAAAAACGGAATAAATGTGATAGTCCCTCCCGCCTTCTATCTACATACCAAATTTGAGATCGATACCTCTTTTTTGGCCAAGTTATAGCGAAAAACCTGTTCAAAATTGATGAAGTCAAATTTTTAAATTCATTTTTTTTTTGCAATTCTAGACATTGTAGCGCAAAACAAAGACCACCATTAGACTCCCCGTGACGAGCTGCATCGAATCAATACCCATTTTATGCAAAAATATCAACTTTGAAATTTGACCTTTTTTGACCTGCCCTCCACCAGAAAGTGACCTAAACCGTACCTGATGGTCTTATAACCAACACCATTGAGTTGGAAATGAAAAACTGGCCATAAAACATGCATCGCACAACCTTAGTAAAGTTGGGTTCATGTGGTGACCCTTGGTGACCTTTGGTGACCTGACCTGGTATAACCAGTGACCTCTAATAGCAACATATGTACTAGACAACTGACGCCCTATCGCTGATTTTCGACAAAATGCGTTTTACTCGGTGTTATAGCGCTTTTCCTAGAAGCCCCGTGAACGGTGAAACATTTTATCTTTGACCTGACCTGTGACGTCATCGGTGACCCCGAGGTCAATGAAATTTGGTTTCCCTCAACGAATTTGACAGGGCTATCGAACGCCGTTTGAATTTTCCGGATCCGTCCAGTAGTTTCGGAGATACGGGGGGGGGCAAAAAATGCCCCCCCCCCCCCCCAACGCGCGGAAGATGGCCAGGAGGCCCACCGCCTGCCAGGCTAAAGAACAATGCTTAAAAATAAGCTATTAAAACTACATATTAATGTTGAGACAGTTGCGTTCAATTCTTTGGTATCCAGTTTTCGCCCTTTTCTCACCCAATACACGTTCTCTAAGCCTTCCTTTTATGCATCGGTCCCCATTCGCCACAAATCGATTGTCGGCATCTGAAAAGCGACGACCGAATCATTCGGCCTCGTTAACATTTCCTATATGATTTGACCAAATTTGGGGGTGTGAGAGATCAAACCTTGAACCGCAGGAGTCGGCAGCATCCGCCCGGAGCCGGAAACGACGGGAAATTCTACCGGAAACACTACACAGAGACATACAATTTTCCTACAGCTTTGTTTTGGTAATATCAGCTCTAGAGATGTTTGCGCTCGTTTTTACCTCTTCAGCGGTCCAGAACGAAGCCTCGGCCTTCTTGTACATCTTCCAAATGTCGTTGTACTTGATCGGGAGAATGACGAACCGATTCGGGTTCTCCCGGAGCAGGGGTTCATCTTCCACGCTGGCTGCCTGGGCCGGCTTGGGCGCAGCCTTCTTTGGACTCTGCAACAGTGACAGGATGCAAGATTAGTCCAATAGAAGGGCAGGGGCTTATCAGGCAACAACAGTGAGAGCTGATAATACCAAGGATTTATACACATTTGTTTACCACTTGAAGATTGAGGGTTATTTTTCCAACATTGCCCATGAGATGCATGCTCATTACCCAATTATGTTGCTCAACCATATTAGAAGCAGTTGTCATTTGGAGGTAAAAGAAAGCTATGACACTTATGACAGAATATCTGCACATTGCAGATTTCCTTACCTTGAGTACTTTGGCATTTCCAGATTGCAAGGCCTGCAATAAAAAAACAGGCAGCATTGAATGAAAAATACAGCCTATTGCTCTAATAGAGAAAGGGAAGTTTCAAGCCACAAACTAGCTACATACATACTGATAAAAAATAAAAAACCTCTGTCAAGTATGAGAAACAAGGGCAGCACACTAAATAATTGAAAGTGACTTAAAGTAGCAAAAACAAAAGTAAAACAAAGCATTGCACAAAATTGTATTAATAATTGCACTTACATTTGTTAGCAAGCCAAACACTTTTTCACACTAACTGCCATAACAGAAATGAAAAAAGGCATTAGAGGGTTATTCTCAACAAATGAGGGCTAAAATAAACTAAAATGTAAAACTGCATAGTCTCCAATGCCAATGATATCAATACTTTCAAAACTATGTGATGCATGATTCTTACCTTCTTTGTAGGGCTGCTTACTACTTTCAATGCCTAAAACAACCAGAGACACTTGGTTAGAGATTGAGATAAGATGACTAAAATCTAAGTGGAGGATACCTTCATTTGTACATACTGATACTGAATTTGAACCCTAATTACTTGCAAAAACTGATCGCAGAGCTAAAATGACAGTTGAAAACATGAAGATCTCAAAGCATTTTAAATCAAAATGTGGAAATATGAAGCAAATTAGTAAAATGGCAATAAAATCACCCAGGCCATGACAGGATAATAGCTTCAATGTGGACCTTAAGCACTATTAGGCTCCGCATCCCAATTGGGAAGTGCTGTTTAAAGGGACCCTCCCACCTTAACATTAGATTTGAGTTGAGATAGCCAAATTGGTGGCCATGGCCTGAAAATACCGGTTTGGGCACTCACAACATCGAAAAATGCTTTAATTCTTAATTCGGAGATATCGAATTTCAAACTTGCAGTTTTCGGATTCTAAGGGGCTAATGCATTGGTATGCCCCCTTAGAATTTGTGACGTCAGCGGAGATCTAACGATTTTAAATCTTTTACTAAAACGTTTGGTAGCACGCGGTGGTATATGCTGCTTTACGCGCAACAAATGCCGCACTTTCAAATAAAGTCGCTAGGAACAGCGGAGATCCCAAAAAGTAAACAAAAGTAAAAGTCTAATATCTTGAAAACCGGTGAATATTTTTCGATGAAATTTGGTAGGTATTCGTTTTTGCTCTTTCTGAACCGAGCGACATCACTTTCATGCCAATTCATTAACTTTTTTGGAGGTGGGAGGGTCCCTTTAAACAGCACTTCAAGCTGTGTGCAACATAATAGCACAAATAAAGAAAAGTACATGAATGGGTCACGAAAAGAAGGTTTTGTTCACAAAACAAGGCTTTTATACAATCACATATATTGTGATATATAATCACAAGCAAATATGTAAGTGAAAGATCGACAGGCAATATAAACCTCAAGTTAGCACTCCATTGAGAAGGTAGGTAGTTTTTTATGGAACACATCAGACTAGTTTAATCATAAGGTAATGAGTTAGGTACTAATGCCATGGCAAAAAGCAAACAATGTGAAGCACCTTATATGATGCTTCCAACTTTTACCCAATCCCAATCCAGAATTACAGCTGAATTGACAAGAAAATAGATACAAAAACCGCTTCAGTGCTTCAACCGGCAATCCAATATCCCCCAGCCCCTCTTCAATCCACGCACTTACCTGATTTTCTTTGGCTTCAACAGATGAAAGACTCAATTCACCCAGCTTCTCTCTGATAGTGGGAGCCATTATAATAAATTTGTATGTAAAGATGTCTTTGTAAATTTGAACAAGCCGACCCGATCGCAACAAGCGGTGGAAGAAGAATGAAATCCGGCGCCAAAGTTAGGCCGCAGTGGCGCCGATTACGTCAAAAAGGGCGCGCTACAGCTGTGAGAGTCTACCAGACTCTACTGCCAGTGTATCCCCGCCTTACAACCAAATCTCAAATATCATTGGCTGTTCTGAGATCTTGCTAGCAGTTCATTGGCTGGAAATCAGCTGACGTGCAGGAAATGGGCGTTTCTACCTGAGCCAAGGATCAGTGGAATGCACCCTCCCCCACTATGACCCTACGGTAGGGGGGATGAGGTGATTCCCACGCAGCCGGTGGCGTTCCCCATCCCCCCTCCTCCTCCCCTGAAAGCAAACGGCATATTTACGTCTGGACAACGAGTTGCGGGGAAAAGTGCTGATTGTGTTGCAGTTTTAGGAGCCGGTAATTAGGCTGGATTTTTGGGTTACTTTTTCGTACCGATTCATGTATTTCATAGTGTTTGGCTTTTGAATATTTTAGTTCTTTCAGATAAATATTACTTGCCTTACAACTTTTGTAAAAACGTTTCATTTTTTTATAAGCCGACGTTCAGAGTCCTAAAAATACATCAGCACTACAATCATTGTAAACAAACAAATGGAGCACCACTTGGCTCTGTTCCAAGGCCATTTTTTAGTTTATCTGGTGGTTTTCTTGCTCTTGTACGTCGTTTTGTTGGATGTTTTGAATCCCTTAAGATTGACTTATATCATATTTAAGAAGCATGTTGACTGAAAACAATCTGAAGTATCCAGGAGGCTGACAGAGAGAGGTCCTGACTACTGAGCAATATAAATATCAAGTTGAACAAGTTATGAAATTTTGGTTGATAAACGCAAGTTGATCGGGCTCATATATCACTCAGCAAGAAAAGGTAAAATTAAAAGAGCTTATTGTCCAAAAACAAGCTATAATATTGCAGACCTTGGAGCAATACTGAAGAGCACGCTGAGCAGGATCATGCCAGAAATGTTGACTGATGAGCGCATATTGATGTATTGGTATGAATATTGAATAATAACTTACAACAGCAAGATAAATTAGTGCTAACTATCAAGTTAAAATCTAGAATGAATGGACTTGGGCAGTTTTACTATGCTTAGATGCTATGCAGATTGTAATGTGCATCAGGTACTCAGTGTCTGGCAAATGAAACATGTGATCATTCCATTGCTACTGGAGGAGAAAGCTTGGATCACTAAATCCACTTTATGTTGATTTTGATGTTAATCATCATCACTGTATTTCTTGAAAAAGGATTGTCGTAAAATTGTCAATGTGACAATCCATGCAGCGATGTGATCATATTATGTGTTCATAGTCATTCGTGATAGTCATTATTGGTCCAATATACAATGGCAAAGCTCTCAGTTTCAGCATTTCTTCCTGTGGATGGCCAGCAGTGACTCCGAGCTTAGAAGCATTAGTTTTCTTCACAGGGCTGGGATAAAAAGTACTGAGGGTAATCTTCCACCAAGGAACTCTACTTTGACATGGTATGAGATGTAGGCACAATTAGGTAGGTGCTCAGTTCCTATAGTCAGTAGTTGTGTATGTTTAGTCGGGTTAGCTTAGATCAGATTGTTAGTTTTTTAATTTGCCAAATGTCCATAAAAATGTGACCTGAGCAATGAGCATACCTGAACCTGACTAACCTGACAGCTGACCTAACCTCAATCATCACACATATTTGCAGCCTACCCAAGACCTGCATGGCAGTAGCACCCAGTTATAGGTAGGTACTCACCCTAACTCAATCTTACCTGCTAACCTTCACCTTGCCAAAAGTTAGCTCAAATTGCCAAGCTGTGTCCAGGGAAACAGTCAACTGAGGAACTGGCTCATTGGGTGGCTGGTGTGAGTCTGTGCATTTTAAGTGTTTCTTCTCTGAAGCTGCTCTGCACTGCTGTATGTCATGTTAGATGCTCAGAAAATGTGGGAAATGATTACTAAGCTACTTTAGTGCTTTATTAATGCTCGAGACATGAACAAGTACAGATCCTGCAGGGTACAGCTATGAGTTAGGTGCTAGGTGAGTATGTTATGTGAATGTGCTGTTCCCTGTTTGACCGTAAGTATACAAACAAGCACAGGGTCACAGTTATATTCAATCTCCACATAAACATACAACAAAAACGGCCATATAGCCTAACTCCGATCACACCACAGATAACTTAAGCCTTTGAAGGCACAAAATGTTTTGATTGACAGGACAGGTTTACAATATATCCTCTGTCCTTGGGGGATCTTGCTGCCAAGTTGAGGTATGATGACTGAACTTCAGGATTGATCAACCTTTTCTTAGCCACTGCTTATACATATACGAGAAAGACCAAATGCTTGTTTGTTTTGATTTACAGGACATGTATACAATATATCCTCTGTCCTTGGGGGATCTTGCTGCCAAGTTGAGGTACGATGACTGAACTTCAGGATTGATCAACCTTTTCTTAGCCACTGCTTATAAACGAGAAAGACCAAATGCTTGTTTGTAAACTGCGTTGAAAATTTAATGATCCACCTTCAATTCTGACATGAAGGCACAAATGAAATAGTTCCCTCTCCTTTTGGAATACACAAAGCAAAATATTTAATAAATTTTAGTGGATGGACAAGAGCAATTAGCACAGCTTTCCCTCAAGTTAACTTCTGGCACTGTTGTACATACACTGACGCTTATTCGCTTCATATTTTGTAAAAAACGCGCTAAAACTGCAATATAACAGCACTATATGCTTCTTGACAAAATGCAAAAGTATTAAAGATTTAGCCCTGATGGCATTCATTCTTGGTGGAAACGTAATTAAAAAATATTTTGTAGTAACTATTAAATTCCGGCCGAAAACAGTGCACGGTTTAAAGGAAATAGTTCACTTTCCTGAAATTAGTATTTTGCTATGGATTTATGTTTTTTTATGCTTAAAATGATCAGAAAATAAAACAAAACGTTTTTGTAAAAAGGATTATTTTGTATATTTTAGTATAAGAAGAACTATATTCTATATAAAACAATGTTTGACGCGGAAGCTTATTACGCGTTGACCAATCATATTGCGTAGGACAAACCCATCGGCTGTAAGCAGCATTCTGATTGGCTGACGATGACGTGACTGCATTCCTCAGCAAGGCACGCATTCCTCTGCAAGGCACTCTTTTCGGAACGAAAAATGGAATATCTTCGTCTAGGGTGATCGTTGGGCCGTTAAAGCTTCTGATTTGTGCTAGTCTCAGCGCAAGCAACAAAACTGCTATTCCAGTTCCAAACCCCATGTTAAAAGTGAACTATTTCCTTTAAAAAAGAATCATTCCAATGACGGTCCATTCTTGCGGTCCTGAAATCGCCACTATTTCCGGCCTCTCCAACGCAACTCGTTGTCCAGACGTAAATATGCAAGCAAACGACGCCCGCGGGGCTCACCCGCAGCTGATTTTGAAGTCGCATTACGTAACAGAGGGTTTCGTTGTTACGCAATTCCATTCGGTTCCACATATTTTGGTGTAACTATGACGGTTGAAATTGAATTGAATTGGATTGAATTGAAGCTTTGCAGTTGAAAGCATTGCATTTTTTTCTTGCACGTAAATTTAAATGCATACACATTCAGGGATCATATATGGCAAGAAATTCTGCAATAAGTTACCGATGGATCAAGCAGACAAACAAGACCAAGGCCATATAACCAACAAGACGAACATTTCGGACCAAAGGATGGGATCGGTCCGGTTGCAGGTAAGGTCGGTTTGCTGACCCACCGATTTGACCTAAGCTGGTAGTGGTGACCTGACCAGTACCTACAGGTCATGCTGTACCTATATGAGTCATATAGCCTTGATTTAGCCTTGGTTTATAATAGCTAATAGCCTTGATATGAGTCAATATGCACCAGTTGAGCCAAGCACGCCTCCAAGGTATTTTCATCACCTCAGTCCAAGCACGTCTATGGAATAATGGTGGAAAAACTGCCTAGTTTCATGACCTTCCGTGACCTTTCATGAGGTAGGTATGGTGGTGTCAATCACATTCGCAATTTCTGATTCACTATGCAATAATTCCTTGCCACTCGATTTTTGTACCTAAGTGTTGAGTACCTATCCTGGTATTAGTATTTTATCGCATTGATTAGGTATACCGTTTGTCTCAAGACCCGCAGTTTCGTTTTCTCGACTTATAGAGGAGAGATTAAAATTGACTCGACCTTAGGTCAGTGACAAATAATCTGGGATCTTGTACCAACGCAGGGCCTCGTCTAACATGTTAACTGGGGGGGCAATTGCCTCCCCAGTCGAGCGGATTGCCCCCCCAGTGGCCAACATTTGCCCCCCCAATCAACACGTGAACTTCTCACAAAATTACCTTGTCTGCAATACGTTTTGCTAGGAGTTTAACGAGAAACATTAAATGATTTGTTCAATAACTGTTCATGGCTACGCTACGGGAAAAGCCAGAGTTTTGTGATTTTCAGAGCTGAGAGCGCCAATTAGCAAATTGTCAATTAGCAGAGCTGGCCAGTGACCCAACTCGTTTCTGCCCCCCCCCCCACACGCACACACTCAATCAAACGCCCAACACGGATAAGTATGTTTATCACTGTCTGGTGAGGGGGTAACACAATGTTAACCCGCGCCGGGCCGGTGCTCCGCGACTTCCGCGCCGGACCGGGGGTGTCTGAACCCCCCCCCCCCCCCGTCTAACTCCGCTCCTGGGCCACGTAGCGACACGCATCAAGCGGCATTCGAAAGAGCGTCAAAAATAATGACGGAAACACTTCAGTCATGTTTTTAGGAAGGTCAAAGTTGATATCGCCGACGCCAGAGGTCATCAAAGGTCAAATTTTGTCCATGTCAACAATTTTGGAAACTGCCAACGGCTAACTCTGGAACCGATAGAGTTAAAGCGCCGAGGAAAAGCCCATTCGATAGCTCTTTTAACGCTCTTTCGCCGGAATGTCCTCAGATTTGACCTGAGGTCAACGGTTTAGCCTCCAGAGGCCAAAATCTAAAAAAAAACGTTGTTATGAAAAACGTTTTTCTGCAATAACTTTTGACTCAAGGAAGTGACATTTATTTTGAAAGCATCGCGTTCCTCTTGTCGAGACGCGTCGAATGAACTATAATTTGACGTTGAAAGGTCATTTGGAAAATTTGACCTCAGGTCAAGGTCATGACCTGACCGGAAAATGTCGACATGTTGCATATCAGTCGAGCGGAACACAGCTGAGGTGTTTTCATCGCTATAGCATGTCTCTATCAAAAGTTATTGTAAAAAAAAAACTCATGGGACCTTTTATGACCTGATATGACCTCAGGGTCATAAGGAGAGGTCACGGGTGCCAT